GCTACAGAATGATTATGTTTTAAAATGGCAGGTCACAAGGAGCCATATGATGAGGGGAATGGAGTCCAGGAGAAGGAAGGGGTGTGCGTATCTGCCATGGGGAGCAGGGGTGTTAATGGGGGTGGATGATATCCATTGCAACCAAAAGCCCAGCAGACTACCATTTGCCAGAGAACATTCCTGTGTCTCTAATTCACCAGCTGGGAAAGAAAAGCTCTCCGGAGTCTGCAGTTCTGCCTTCTCCCTGTTGACGACTCACGCGAGTGTTGCTTTCAATTGAATTGTTTCCCTACAGCTCGCTGTTCAAGCTCTGACTGTCTTCCGGCCAGTTTGGCCAACAGAGCTGCCTCCAGCTACAGTCTTAAGCACTGAAAGCCTGGCTTCTTTACTCCAGCAGGTTCTCTCCTTTTCCTCAGCATCTTCCCTTCCCCTGCCTCCTAATGAGTTTAGGAAGGTTTAAATCAGTTAGGTAGATTGAAATTTTAATCAGTTTGATTGGTTCTTTTTAATGGGAATTTAAATTGATCCGGAGACTGAGCGCATTAAGGGGCGGCGCGCTGCTAGCTGGGACCTTTTGGAAGCACGTCTCCCCTGCAGACCCGGGTGGTCATGTGCTGCGGTGTGATTACTCCACGCAAGCCCCCTGTGACTGTGTCTTGACAAATTTGTGGGTGATGGGGTTTATGGAGTAGATAATTTTCCTTGACTTTGGTCTCTTATGTTAGCGAAGGGAAGATACTGATTCAGTTCTTGGATCAACAGGACACCCAGTTCTGGGGTGTCACCCTGACCCTGGGCCTGGATGTCCAAAATCAGGGAGGGGAGGGGTCTGCTGGAGAACATCGTCACCCTGCACACACACTCTTCTCCACTTAGGGTCTTCCTGTGGGTTGGGGAAAGGCAGGCAGGACCATCATGCTTAATTTATGAAACCTCAGTGCCTTATTTCTTAAACACAAAAGATAATAGTATTCACTGAAGAGAGAAGGGGTTCCTTTGAACCTCTTTATGGCAAGAACTGAACCCTCCAGTGAGATGGCAATGATGCAGGTTTTGGCATCATACAGACTGGTTTCTGGTGTTTTGTTTTGGGTTTTTTTGTTGCTGCTGTAAATAGCATGTATTTAAATTTTTTCCATTTTAATTGTGAAATATATCAAATATATCCACCACTCAGATGTATAGAGGTTAATATTGTGCAATAGTTTAGCAGAAAAATGATACATCACAAACATCATTAAAGCTCTGTCCACCTCCCCAAGCCCTCCCAACCCCTCCTCAGTAATCAGTAGCCAGAAGTTGGTGTCTGTCATCCTCTTGCCTGTTTTTGTAGTTCACTCCCACTGTCTGTATGTAAAAACACTGCACGGTATTAAATAATACTGCTTTGCATGGTTAAAAAATGGCATCAGGCCATACAAATTCTTCTGCAGTCAGTCCCAGCGCCACTGCTTTCTTGTAGGAACCGTGGACAAGTTGTATCACCTTTTTGAGCCGCAGGGAGATTGTTAAGAGGCTGGTTGTGTTCGTCTTGGCACTGGCCAGGTGAGCGAGGATCAAAGCCTGGAGAGGAGGAGACTGTTTGAAACTACAGAGGCAGAATCAGCCGGGCTTTGTGGCTAATTTGATGTGTGGAGTGACAAGTGTGATTGTGGTGCAGGTGCCTGTCAAGGAGAGGAATGCCAGTCCCCGAGGTCAGGAGCCCAGGGTTGGGGGCTGCTGGTCTGCTGCCCTTCTGAGTTGGAAGTGTCTGCAGCACACCCAGGTGGGGAGATTTAGGAAGCAGTTGGATTTGGGGACCCAAAATCTGAGCAGTGGTTCTGAGCTGGAGATGCCTCTTTGGGATCCTTCGGGAAGGAGGGGTGGCTCAGCACACGTGGCTCCGGGCCGCCTTTACCTGGGCTCGTGGCTTGGTTCACCCTCGCCAGATTTCTTCAGAACTCCAACAAGTGGCAACAAGAGACCTGGGGTAGAACCACCTCATTGTTACGGCAACTTGAAAGGTTAGGGTTGTGTTTGAAAGGTTTTTTTTGCCCTCTAATAGCCTGTTGTGATTTTCTCGTTCATGAAATTACAGAAATCCCTCTGAAGGGAATTTCTGCTTGCAGACTTGGCGGTGCCTTGTTGTGAGTAAGTTCATAGACTTTATCAGCCTTGGTGTGTACTTCTCTGTACCTGCCTGAACGTGCGCCCTTGTCACACTTCAAGGAGCCCCACCCAACCTATCCTGGGATGGGTGGCAGCACACGTGTCTCCCAGCAGATGCTCCCTTCCCAGGTGTTCTGTCTGGGAACCCTAACCTCCCGTGTTCCTCTCCATGACAGGACCAGAGGGCCATTCATTGTTCTGCCTCGTCACTCATGTCACTTACTGCGGACTTGGTTCAGGGGCTGTTGGTCCCTCCTCACTAGTTAGTAGCTGACTTTTCACAGGGAAATGTCTCTTTTTGCTTAAAGAAAACACGCCTGCCCTCCCTCACCCCTGCCCTCTCCGCTCCCCCTGTGGGCAGCCCAGCACGTTGTCCTGACCGGCCTCCCTCTAGGTGGTAGGCAGCCACCCAGAGGAGCCCAGATAAAAGTGTCTGGCAGGATGGGGGAAGTTTGGGCAGCAGCTAGTATTGTAAGGTCCCAGAAAGACCTGGGGAATGGAGGAAAGGGAGCAGCCGAGGATGGGCTGGGACCTGGGAGCAGCTCTGGGCCCTGGTTTTCCTGCTTCTGTCTGCCTGCTTCCTTTTCTCTTTCTCTTCATCTCCCTCCGCCTCCTCTTTCTCTTCACTTCTTTCAGGCTCCCTCCCCTCCCCCTCTCTCCCCCATCAGTCTCTTCTCCCTCCCCTGTCCCCTTCTTTCTCTCTCCCCCTCCTCTCCCCCCTTCTCCCTCCCCCCTTCCTCCTCTCCCCTCTTCCTCCTTCCCCCTTCTCTCCACTCCTTCCCCTCACTCCTTCCCCTCCCTCTTCCCCTCTCCTCCTCCCCCTCCCCCTTTCTTCCCCCCTGCGTCTTTCCTCTCCCTCTCCCTCCAGCTCCTCTTCTCTTTCCCTGCCTTCTCTCCCTGTTCCTCCTCTTCCACCGTCCCTCCCCACCCCTGTTCTCTCTAGATCTCTCTTATTACCAACTGTCCATCTTCTCCCCTCCCCTCAGCTCTAACCTGGTTCTCTTCTCACCCCCACCCTCCAAAACAGGCAGCTGACGTCCTCAAAACTTGTATCTGGCCTGTAATTGCCTAGACTCCAACACTGCATGGCCTTTTTGCGCTAAAGCCCGTGACCATCTGGCAGGCCTCTATGTGTGTGCAGGATTCTCAGCTCCCGAGACGGGGTCTGATTAGCTCAGCTCGCCTTCCTGATCCTGGCCAGCCTGGGGATGGGTCCCCCTCAGGTCAGGCACACCCTGGGCCAGTCAGCAGTGGCAGGGAGTGGGCAGGGTTCCAGAAACCCCTGCGTACCTACCAGGGGCTGTGGGTGGGGATGGAGCCCCTGCGAAGGCGGTTTGTGGGCACAGGAGTAATCAGGTACCTCTAGCACAAGAACTCTGCCATGGACCCCCTCTAATTAGCTCACCCCAGGGAGTGGTCCTAAATTTGGCTCAAGCTTTATATGAAAGCTCATGGTTTAAAAACTGTTCCTAGTCACCTCTGTGCTAATGGAAGGGTATACATCTCTGAAGTAATGAATTTAGCATCTTCCAGCCATGTCAAACATGCCATGAAATTAGACTTTCAGTCAAAGAGTTCATTTTATTCATACGGTAGGGTGCAGGGATGGACTTGGTAGATCCCAAACAGAATCATCCAGTGCTTATAAAAGGTAGCATATGGGCTATGGTGTTTTTCCAGTCATGAAGACTTTTGATACATGATTTGAAACATGTATCCCCTGAAATTTTGTAACATTCTCACTGTGGCGGTGGAGACAGAGGGCTCACCGTGAACCCGACTCACGATGCCTGGGGAGCTGCCCCGCCCCCAGGGATGCCACTGCCCCTGCTGCCATCAGAGCTGGCTTCCTGGTCCGTGCCCTGTGTGGCTCTGCAGCTGCTGACACCACACCCCCATATCCCTCAAGGTCTTAAGTCACAAAACTGGCTATTTTTGCACTCGCCTGGAGTGTGTGAAAACAGGCTTCCAATGGAAAAACCTTGCCCCACTTTTATACAACTGGAAAACATTACAGAACTTGAATCTTTCAAACATCAAAAAAAAAAAAACAGACGGCAACCCACAAAAATCCAGCTTGTGTAACTTAGTCACACGGAAACTTGAAGAGGAACAGAGTGGGACCTTGCTTCTGCTTTACAGGTGGTTTTGATTTAGAAAATGCGCCTCGAAGTTCAGTGCCTCCAAAGGCAGAGGAGAGGTTTGGTCTTGCTTCTAAGAAGAGTAAAACTACTCCTGACTGTTTCAGGGCTCAGCAAAGTTTACATTTAATCTCTTTTCCACCTTTGTCTACCTGAATACTCTCATGGTCTCTCCATCTGCTGAATCAATCAGTGTGCATTGTGGGAAACTCTCATCTCCCCATGATCCGAATTAGGTGGGATCCAGTTCTGACAACATGAGTTAATCATCACTAGAAATACTGGCAAGAGCTGTGGATGTTTGTGTTCCTCGGGGACAGCTTAGCGTCTCCAGATAAATATTCCAGTCCAACTGTCTTCTCTGAGCTCTCCTTCCCCAAACTTCCTCCCCCGTAAGGAGGATAAGCCAAAAGCAAAGTGTTGGGTCCCCTGTAATTTACAAGGCGAGGACAATACTTTAAAACAATTGGCCTTGAGCTATCGTTGGTTGCTAGATAATGTTTCTTGCAAAATTGTGCAGCATTAACATGACTGTTTTTGCTCTCAAAATCCAATCAGATCACTTTCAAAAGAAGTTTTAGGAGTTGGATTGCCAAACTCCTGCAATCTCCACGTTAAGAATGCCTACCTCTGTGGCCTCCGGCTATGAGACAGGTTGTTACCAGGATAAAAAGACAAGAGGAACAGCTTCTCCTTATGTCCCTTCTGCAGAATAAGAAGATGTACTTGGACATCATTCACACGTACATGGAAGTGCACGCGACCGTTCATGGCTCCAGCACGAAGAACATTCCCAGTTACGTGAAAAACCACGGTATCCTCAGTGGGCGCGACCTGCAGTTTCTTCTCCGAGAAACCAAGGTAAGTTTTTGGTAGTTTTGTAAAAATTCATCAGTGATGTGTGGAGGTTTGTTTCTGCTGTTGTTGAAAATGAGATCAGAATCTTCCAGGCTTTCTTTTCACTGGTAACACTGATGTTAGGTCATTTCTGGGCAGTGGTTTTTCTGGACAAGTTGTAGCTTTAAAGTCAGCGGATTCTGCAGGGAGGTTGCTAACTTTTAAAGCTTATTTACTGAGAGAACCTGCTTTTTGCCAAGCTCACATCAGGGGCTGGGGACATGGTGGCAAACAGGAAAGGAAAGGGATCTGACCATCTGAGAGCTGCAGCTTTCCAGCAAGCCTGGGGCACTGAACTCCCCCCACCTCCCCACTCACCTCTGTTTGAGGAATCAGTCCCCCAGCTAACTTTTCAATCCTACCTCCTCATTCATAAAGTTTGTACTGGATACTAAAGAAGTTCAGGCAAGGGAAGAGTCCGTTTGGGCTCAAGGAGCAAGGAAGGCATCCTGAAAGGTGTAAGTGATGAAAGATGGGTGGGGCGTGGATGCACCTGGCATTTGGGACTGATGGGAGTGAGAGTCAGGTGGCGGAGGTGGAGATGACACATTCAGGAGGGTCCAGGGACCAACCCAGTGAGTCTAAGCATTGGGAAATAGTGGGAGATTTGACAAGGGGCTGAGGGTCTTATTGTCACAGTCATAGAATTCAGACCCTGTGGTGGACGTGGCCGCTGCTGGAGGGTTATTTTAGTAGCGCGATGCACATGGTGTTTGCCACCATCGCGGAGTCCACCCAGTGACCTCCATCATTTTGCCATGGGCACACCCAGTGAAGTTAGCAGGTCTGCAGACAGACTTGAGTTAGAGCTTGAAGGGTCAGCTGGCACTTTATTAAACTCCCTCATGTTTATTAATAAGCTCTTATTTATGAATTTTACACACATTTATTGAGCAACTCTCATGTGCCAGGCCTTGGGCAAGAGATACCAGAGGGAAGAAAACAAGTGTGATTCCTGCCCTAGTGTCTCCTCAGGCAGAAGGAAGCTCGTTATCTGCAGTGAATTTTGAAGCTCTGGTCCCTGAGCAACCGCATCCTCTTTTTCAAGGTCGGGGAGGGAGGCTGGTTGGACGTCCGTGCTGTGGTAGCATTTCTAATTTTTGTGTGTGATGCTGTGATGCTGGAAAGCATCTTCACATAGCCTGTCCTGTTCGCGTCTCACAACAGCCTTAAGCGGTAGGCAGGGCAAGTGTTACTGTTAACTTTATTTTTTTAATTTCATTTGTTTTTCATACAACTTTTAAAGGTCCCTTTCCATTTATAGTTATTACAAACTATTGACGCTATTCCCCGTGGTGTACACTGTATCCGTGAACCTATCTGACACCCCATAGAGGGGTGTTAACTTTATTATAAGTGTGAGGAAACAGACCAGAGGGTTGGGTTTGTCCAGTTACTCAGGTCACCTTGGAGGTAACCTTGACTCATGACTTTTTTTTTATTATAAATGAAAGCTTGTCTAGGCCCTCAATGTACCGTCCTCATGAATAAACACAGAAACTTAAGAATATTCAGTGGATACTCAGTGGCCAAAAGAATCTGCATCCGCTGTCTGCCTCAGTTCCTTGTATGCAGAAACATTTGATCATTCCTGCCTTGCAGTCTTGTGTGGGATGCCCTGGATAAATTAGTTTGAGAAGTTGTTTTTCTCCTTAGCCAAAGATTTGGATCTGGGGTGTTTAATTAAGACTGTATGTCCTTACAAGGTCATCGGCAGTGATGACGGTGGCCATCCTGGAGTGAAGGGTTCTCTCCAGTTTGCGCTGTTCACCTTCTGCCTTAGGATGACATTTTCGAATCATTTGAATGTCCGGCCTCTTAACGGCAATGCTATTTTTGCCATTGGCCTTGTGTTACTTTTCCCCACGTCAGATTGCGGGAGAGGCTCACGCTCCTTTAAAATTACATCTGGCAGCTCTGGTTTTCAGCAGCGTGTCATCTGTCTTGCACACTTTTATTAATCCAGCCTTGTAAATGACTCAGCCCTGCAAATCTTAAAAGAGTTCTTACTTACCCACCATCCACTTACCCCATCAGAGAATGGGAAATAGGCTGAATCTGAGGTCCCTGATGTCTGGGAGGATCAGAGAAGGGACCTGGAAGGCCCAGACCGTGATGTCAGAGATTGCCCAAGAACCTAGGATGATGGCTGGAATTTTGAGCGTAAGGGGCATCTGTTTATCCTTGAAAACCTGGTACCTTCTGAGGATGTCCTGATCCCATGTTGTATTGCCTGTTCATCTAACTAGAATATAGTAAAACACTATGAGTGGAATTATGGCTAAAACAGTTGGCAGATATGATGAAAATGAGTCAGTGTATCGCCAAGACGCCCCCTATACCCAGGACACAACAACAAGCACTGAAACGAATGAATCTTGGGCTTTGGGATAATAACACTGAAGACTAGTCAGGCTTTGCATTTATAAACCTTTCTGCCTCTCACTCCTTCCTCCATGTCTCTGAGCAATTTAAAAGTGATTTATTCCAATCCACATTGAAAATGGAGACCTGGGGATGCGGAGAAGCCAACGCGTGTGGAGTGGATAGAATTTGCACACTCCTCAGTCTCGTTATCAGAGAGGGAAGCCAGGCAGGTGCCCTGTGAGGTTTAGAGACAGATGGAAATGATTGATGCATGATCAGCTTCTGACTCATTATTTTTCTTTATGAGCCATCTTTGAATCTCTGTACCCAGCCCAGGAAACCCTCTGCTCAGCAGAAGTTTGCCCCTGCATGTCATTAGGGGCCCAGGTGCCATTAGCAGGCTCCTATGAAGATGGAGGAGGAATTCAGTGTAACCCTTGAGTCAGGGCTCTAAGAGCTGAGAAGTTGTTGAATCTAGAAGACTCTTCTAATAGGCATGTAAATTTCGATAAATTCATTATTTATCAAAGGACCACAGACCAGTCATTCAGGCTGGCAAACCCCGGGAGTGCAATTTAAGCTAGTAAGCATGGACTGACTGGTACAGTGCATTGTATTTTTGGCTTAAATCTCCATCTCTTCTAATGCACTTACTTTCTTCACCTGCCTCATCTGAACCTCTTCATGGCCACCTCCCCCAGCCTAACCAGGGGACTTTCCTTCTAGCAGTGGGCATTCGCATCCTACACTGGGTTGGAGGAGCGTTTGGAGTGAGTCCAAATGGGTACCTCTCTTTCTTACATCAGAGTTGAGAACAGAGTCTGACTGTGGGAAAGCAGAGGAATTAGCAGCTACTGGTGCTGTTGTGCACACCCTTTTCCCCCCGGACCTCCGGTCACTCCCAGCCCTTGGGAAGGGTGTACGACCCTGTTTCCTGACCACGACAGCTCATCAGCTTCGCTGTAGAAGCCTGAGCAAGGTTGGAAGAAGCGCAGTATGTACTAGTGTCCCTGTTCCAGCCCATCCTGGTGTCTGATCCTCACCCCGGAATCAACCGTGGCTCTTCCCGTGAGCTTGGGGGTGGTTGCACAAACTCTCAAAAGCCCGGGGCTCCAGGCAGCCCCCGCCAGTAGGCCAGTCTCCCGTGCGTGACAGCAGAGGGGCTCTGCTTGTTCTGTGGATACCTTCTCAGGGCATGGCTTGTAGAGGCCTTCAGATAATTGTGTAGAGAAGGAAGGAAGGAGTCAAGGTGATATCCACTAGTCATCTGGGATCTTGCGGCCACGCCCCCCAGGGGGGATTTCTTGCTTTCCTCCTGCATTTGTGCCTGGATCTCCAAGATCTCCCCATCAAGGGACCCTTCCATTCTCATACCCCATGCCGGCCTCTCCATGGTATTGCCCACCCCCCAGGCCCTGTGAGAAAGAGCCCAGAGTTTGCTTACTGACTGAGCAATCAGTCTTTCATTTCTCTTCAAGATACTGAAATATTCGCCCTCAGGCCATCAAGCAGATTTCATCCTAGTGACCAGTACCTAAGGTCATGCCCATGCCAGCTAACTTGCGTACACATACACATGCATACACGTTCCCTCCCACCTCCCCTTCCCCTCCCACATACATATGTAGACTGAAGAGGGTGTAGCGATGACTCCATAACCTCTCCGACTTCAAGAACAAAAGGACATCTCACACCCAAATGCGCACAGAAACATTCAGCCTCTCCTCACAGAGACACTGGATTACTGGAAAGATCTAATCTGGTGCTATTTATTCTTCTGCTCGTTTATCTGACAAATGTGTATTAAGTATGGAATATATTCCAGGACTTAGGCTAGGCGTTCTGGATCTGGGGATGACTAAGGCGGTGGTGCCCCCAGGAGTGTACAGGTGTGGTGGAGCAGGCAGACAGGTAAATAGGTAGCTGTAACAGTATGAAAAGTATACAAGTAGGAGAGGTAAAATTAAAGTAATAAAAAATAGTGAAACAGCAAAAACAAATAATGAAAGATAATAATAAAGAAGAACAAAACAGAAAACCTCACTGGGATGCTGTAAGCAGGGTCAACCATTCAATTGTGGAAAATGTTGGGAAGCTGTTGAAATAGCAGGCCACGCCCACTGCGGAGGGCAGGAACGAACCGTCACATTGTCATACATTCATCACATTCATATTCTTATGGTGCCCATGACTCCAGGATTTCATGCAACGGCCGTTTTCTCTAGCACTCAACCTGTGCAAAGCCCTTTCTGTGAATTACCTCTTCATCACAAAAGTCCTCAGACCTCGGTACCATGAGGACTCATCTTACTGCGGCAATGAGTAGGCGGTGGTACTGCCTCTCTGCTGAGAGCTGGGGCGGTTAGCCTGGTGTGGAGCTGGGGTGAGAGAGGGATGGTCAAGGAAGGCTCCTTCAGGGAGGTGATGCCTGAGCTGCCTTGTAATGGTAAACATTCATGCCGCACAGCTGACGATGGTCAGCATCTATAATTTTACACATATCTGCATATTCTCTTTCTCTCCATCTCCACGTTAATGCATTTGCAGAGCAAAGTGTAGTGGATTGGACTCTGTGCTGGGAATTCCAAATGACTGAAGTGCGAGGGCTTTGGGTCTTGAAGTTGTTGCATTTGGTTCTGTTTTATTTCTGGAAGGCTGCTTAGGCAGCTGGGCATGGTCTGGGGGTCTACCCAGTGAGCAGGTCTCCAGGAAATAGCCTTTGATTTAGCATCCAATTCTGACTGACCTTGGACATTGAAACATGCTTGACAAGTATTGCTGTCTTTACCTCCTTTGCCCTTGTAGCTTTTTACGAGAGACGCTTCTGGTCGTGTAGGTTAGAGTCTTGAGGAGCCCATGGGAAGGTGTAGCCAAACATATAGGGGAGAGATTTTGGCCCTTGTTGTCTCTTCTTCAGCATTGGGTGCAGAAGAGAAGGCAATGTCCAGAGAGGGACCCTTCAGGCTACATGAACGCGTCACTTCTCAGGAAAATAAATTTTATCCGTACGCAGCCATTGTATGGATTACTTTATAAAGATATAAAAGGGATACCTGTCACTAAAGATGTAATAATTCCCAATCATTATATGAAGAATAAACAAGTAGGGCTTAACCATAGCAGCTCATGGGACCTGCCTTTCCATGACACAGTCACTGTAAACTGTGTCCTCTCTTCTGATGGACGCCCTGCCCCGTTTTTCAGTCCAGGTACTTTATGAAACACTGAGGATTCATAAATACACGTACAGGTGCTGAGCATCTCATAAAAGCCTACCACCACAAATGCCGCACACCCAGACTGGCTAGATCACGCAGGGTTACAGACGTGCAACAGCATGTGAAGCTGAGCGTCAGTCTGAACCTGGACTAGCGTTCAAGTTCATTTCCTATGTGCCCAGACCTTAGAATCCATCCCTTCCATCAAACACCTCATTTCATCCTCACAGCATCCCCAGAAAATAAAGCACGATTATTTTCAACCCTTTGCACCTGAAAAGACAGGTTAGAGAGCTTGTATCAACCTTGACTAAGGCCCATAGCTGGAGAGAATGCATTATAAATGGACCTCAGACTGTCCACTGAAAGAGGCATGCGACGATTTCCCACAGTTGCAGAGCCAGGAGGTGATGTGATCAGCACCTGACTCCCAAGCTTGTGCTGTTAATCACCGTGCTGTCCTCATCACTTTGTGCACAGAATCAATTTAGGGAATAAGCTGAAGCTGATTTGTTGCTCAGAGTCGCCCCACCAACTTGGCTAATTAAAATGAGACAGGAAAGTGTCCATTGGGCAGGTAGTCTCCTGTTTTTGATAATTTTTGATGTTCCCCATCCAGAGGGACTGGAAACGGATCACACCCATGGATTCTCCCTAAGAATGACCTTTATCACGTTTAAGGGATTCTTGGCTAAATACTCCACTTAGGGGTTTAAACCAGCATCATTTCTCCTTTCATGCAGAGTGAAAGTCGGAGTGGTTTTACTGAGCTCTGTTGATGCGTAAGGATGTCCCAATCCTGCGCCACCAATGAAAACGTAGGGGGCTTCCTTAGTTCTCTGTTCCTGAACTAATGTTCAGGAATTCAGTTTCGGAGCATGTCATTCCTCTGTTTAGAAATGCTCATGGATGGAGTAGAAATGCAGCCTTGAAGGCGGTCTGTCATCTGGAATACCCTTCTTAGATGCTGGGCTTCTGAGAGCCAGATGAAGTATCAATAAAACATGCCTGGGTTCCTCCTGAAGAGTTAAGCGTCTGCACTGGAACGCATTCTTGTGGTGTCTCCTGCCCACACGCTAAGGAAATCTGTAAGTGGGCGGGATGACTCGGGGTGGGATGGGGATTTAGGGGAAAAGCACCTCAGTGTGGTTAAGGGCCCAGTGTGCGGCAGGGCCGGAAGCACTCAGAAGTTCACAGAATGCCCTTTGGTGATGGTGGGCTGTCTCTGCCCATCTTGCTGTCATTCAAACCTCAGGTGTGCTGTCTGACCTTCATACCTCTGCTCCATTATAATGTCCCAGGTAATAAGTACCACAGAAAGCAAGGGGAAAACTGCCTATTGACAGCAGTGGCAAAGAATCATTAGTTTGGTGTTTCCAGCTAATGCATTTCCTGCAGTGCTGACTAGCGTGACGATAAAACTCCTTGCCAAGAAGTTGTGTGGGTTTTGTTGAAGCTTCATTCTGAAATGGTGAGGCTTTGGAGAGTTAGCCTAAAGTGTTTATTTTATATGTACTGAGATATTCTGATGCCAGCAGGGCACAAGAGATGGTGCAAATTGTTATTCAGATATAATTAAACCTAGGTCACATTCAAGTCCATTAAGCAACAGCTTCAAATCCTTTTAATTAATGGGTTTAGATTGGTGGGTCTGAAGGAGCTAATTAAATTTTTTTTCCCCAGGATTTTCTATTTAAATAGACAAGCATTGTGTTCCTTGCACATTTCCTCCAAAGATGTTCTTTGCACTTTAAAGTTGATGATGGTATCCACACTTGGTGGCAGGCCCTGCTTTTCAGAGGTCAGGAAAACCGCTGTCTGCATCTTCCAGGATCTGGAAGCCCTGTGCTTTCTTGAGCTCAGCCGTGACCTGATGGAGGACCTCTTTCCTCTGGAGAGCCAGCACTCCCTCCCCAAAATCTGATGGGGGCGGCAGATGACAGAGTTTGAAAGCCTAAAGGATAGTAACCATGGGTTCTTCATATTTAATGAAGCTGGGGTATCTTAGGACCAGTCCTTCCGACTGGTTCCTTCAGTTTCTCCTGCTGCTGTCAGGTATCCCCCCGCCCATGAACCACACGCCCAGACCAAACCCATACACACAAATTCTCTCTGATAATCTTACCCCGGTTAGCTACATACATAATACGGTCCAGAAACTGGGCGTCCAAATGGTGGTGGAGACGCCCTCTGTCATACGGTGGCCAGGCTCCATGTTTTCCCTCCTCACCCCGCCCCCACCCCGTGTCTCTGGTTCTTCTGCCCCGGGAGGAACGACCCAGACAACAGTGGGGATTCTGCTGGCTTCTTGAAGCTTTTCTTCCCCAGTTCCCCCCACTGTGGATACCCCTGACAGTCATCTCGAGGTCTGCAGGGTTTGAAAGGTCATTCTTCCAAAATAACAAAAAGGTGAAGTACCTTGGTCTGTGCAAAAGAGCATACGGTTACAGGATAGGAAGTCTTTCCAGAAAACCTGAGATTTCTTGCCTCAGAAAATTCCCTAATGGCGGGGGGTGGGGAGGGGCGCTTTACGAATCTCCAACATTGTGTAATGGGGGCCACGCTGCATGTTCAGCCCTGGAATCGAGTACCCAGCACATCTGTTCTGCATCTTCCAGGGTTGCCCAGGGAACCCAGCAGCTTGGACTCAGGGCTCTCTAGGCAGAACCATTCCAAATAATTGTTCAATTAAAGCAGCTGCAACGGCAGGATTGCTGCTGGGGAGAGGGCCCTGGGAAGGAGACTCAAGCATCCAGCCGTTCATAGCCAGTTCCACAGTGTCCTTACTCTCGGGGCCTGGCCATGTGGATGTCACCCAAGGCGATGGCAGAAGGAAGCCATACCCTGGGGCCTGGTTATCCTGTGCCATTTGATGTGCCCTGGGGACTGAAGTGATTTCAGATCGGCTCATTATGCGGGGAGGGAGATGGCACGTGTCACGAAGCCCAGACTTGGACACTGCCCATCAGGACCCACAGCCCTTCAGCCATGTGAGGGTACGCAGGGAGGCACTCCTCTGAGATGTTGGTTCATTTCTGGGCCCAGGAATCAGGGCCACCGAACTGCAGCCCCAGGTCCCCGTTGTCACAGCCGCTATCATGACAAGGACTCTGAGATGTGTTTTTGCTGCCATCTCTTGTCTGCCATGGGGAAAACGCAGGGTGTTCTTGCTGGAGGGAAAGAAAGCCATGCCCGGTTCCAGCTTCCCACCCTCTCCCCACACTGAGGGGAAAATTAAAACCGAGATGTGGGTGTCCCCCAGTGAACACCCCACAGGAGAACCTGTGTTTGCCGACCTGCTGTCGTTTCAAGGCAGCACCATTTGAACCGTCATCAAACCGCCGAGTGACCTTTCTGTCCCCCTGCCTGGCATCACTGAAAGGACCTGTTGTTCCTCTGGTTCAGTGAAGAAACCTTCTGTTTAGTTAAGCAAGTGTTTTTCCAGTCGTGTCTCCTGGTGAGTCACAGAAAGGTGATTGTTGGGTCTTGGTTTTTGTTGTTGTTTTTATGACTTTCCTTGTTTACAAAGTGGGGGGGGGGTTCGACCAGGACCTGAGCGGCTTCCTGGGCCTTTCAGGGTCCCTGGGCATGTTTTTCAGGCCCTGATGTAAGCTGGCTTCTCGCTGCACCCTCTCCCACCCCCAAGGGTCTCTGCACAGGAATGGAGCACAGAAGAGACCCCGGGGAGCCGGGGCCGCCAGTCCTGACGGATGTGTTTACCTGTGACATGCTTCTCTGTTTTACAGCTATTTGTGGGACTGGGGTTCCCTTACGAGGGGCCGGCACCCCTGGAGGCCATCGCAAATGGCTGTGCTTTCCTGAATCCCAAGTTCAACCCACCCAAAAGCAGCAAGAACACAGACTTCTTCATCGGCAAGCCAACTCTGAGAGAGGTGAGCATCTGTGAAAATCATTGTCCTTTGGCTAATGTGAATGAGAGCTGTTTACGGAGTGCTCGGTACCCATTGGCACCTCGTAGCCTGGGCTGGTAGGTGGTGTCACCTGCCTCTCATGTTGTTGGGTGGAAGGAGGAGAGGGTGCCGGGGCTCAGAGAGGTGTAAGGCTTGATTACGCCCCCTTGCTGGGTAGCGGCAGAGTCAGGATTTGAATCTATTTCCATCTCGCTACAAAGCATGGCGTCTTTTCACTCTACCCCAACTCTGTCCTGATTTGAACAGACATCTCTAAGTAGCTGGACTCTGATTTTCTGAATGATTAGCGTTTATGGAATAAAGAGAAAATCAACTGGTTAACAGGTATTTTCAAAGAATCTACTCTCCATGATGAGCTGTGGGGTCCTTCCTTAAAAAATCATCATCTTGAGAGAAAAGATGTATCATGGGTGAATGAAGTAGCGTGCCCAGTATCTTAGCCCACTGTCAGCAGGCACCATCCGGAGAAGCCATCCTGCCATTGCTCGAACCGTTTACAGAAGCCTCACTTGAATGGCCTTCGGAGATCCTCTCAAATCCCCAGTGGGTGATGAATCACCATTGAGGGGAGTTGGATTCAATCTGGGACAATAAACAAGAGTCATGTAGAGCATGTGAGTGACCAAGCTGGGTGTTTCCATATCTGGCCAGGAGCAAGTGTGGGCAAAAGACCATAAGACTGATTTCTTATTATTTCTGGGCACTTACTAAGTGGACCTTCAGGTTGCTCGTGAGGAGGAAGCCTCTAAGTGTCATCATCACAGAGCCCTTGTCATCGGGGACCTTCTCCTGCACAGGGCCCTGCCAGACAGCTCTCCCATGACTTAGCACTGTTTTTAAGGCATTCATTTTTCAACTCTGCTACTTTTAAACCTTTCTGGGTCAGTTCTTCTGATCTCCTCCCTTCCTCCAAAAAGTGTATAAAACACGTCTTCCATAATTATTCTTTGCTGATCAGTCAGAGGGCTTGCCAGGTCATTGAGCTGATTATTTCGAGTTCTCCTTGACCTTCCTCATCATTGGTGAAAGAGTCGAAAGAGATGGAGGAAGATCAGCATGAAGCATGACTATAGATGATCCTGAAAAAGATGCACCTGTGGCCCCGATACCCTCTGACCAGCTACCAGTGTGTGTGTCCTTTTGTGGAGTGTTCTTTTTGGGGGACCATTCCTCAGCTGTACTTAATGCCCACAGTATTTGGACTTCAGGTGCTGTGGGAGGCACTGGGGCACAGATCCAGAACCTTCAGTCTGGCACCAAGGACCTTATTCTTCACTCCCCAGCAGTGAGAACATCTCAATGTAGGCGTCTCTGTTTTAGTGGGTGACTGACTGACTTTGAAACTTTGGAGTTCTGGGTAGAAAACATGGGCTAAATCAATCATTCCTGTGTTTTCACTTGTGTGTAGGAAGTGTCTGACGTTCTACCTCTGCCTAAATTGGGTAATTATTTGTCATTTTTAATGTTTTCTCCACTTTTTTGTGATAAATTATGTACAATGAAAAACTATCATTTTAACTTTTTTCAAGTGTACAGTTCACTGGCATTCAGTACATTCATAATATTGTAGTCATCACCACTGTCCATTTCATACCATTCATCACCATGTCCATTCCAAACAGAAGCTCTTTACATTAACAGTAACTCCCCATTCTGCCTTCCCCACAGCCCAGAATGGAGTGGAGTGGAGTGGAATGGAATGGAATGGAATAGAATAGGATAGAAAAGAATAGAATAGAAAAGAAATGAAACCTCTACTCTGCTTTCTGTCTCTGTAAGTTTACTTATTCTAGGTAACTAATGTAAGTGGAATCTTCCAGTATTTGTCCTTTTGTGACTGGCTTATTTCACTAAGCAGGTTTTCAGGGTTCACTTACATTGTAGCATGTGTCAGAATCTCATTCTTTTTCGGGGCTGAATAATATTTCATTGTGTGGATAGACCACTTTTTATTTGTCCATTCATCTATTCCTGGAACATTTGGATTATTTCCACTTCTTGTCTATTACGAATAATGCCTGTGAACATTGGTGTACAAGTATCTCTTTGAGTCTTTGCTTTCAAATCTTTGGGGTATATATACCTACAGGTGGAATTGTTGGAACTTGCTTTCTATTTATTTTGAGATAATTTTAGTCTCATACAAGAGGTGCAAAAATAGTACAGAGTTTGGTTATATGCTTCATCCAGCTTCCACTAATAGTAACATACTATAAAACCACGGTGCAATTGTCAAAACCAAGAAATTAACATTGGTACCTTGGTATTATCTAAACCACAGACTGTATTTGGACTTTACCAGTTTTTCCAGTACTGTCCTTCTTCTGGTCCAAGATTCCACATGGCCTTTCCTTGTCTTGTCTGCTTCAATTCCTCAGTCTTTCACTGTCATTCATGGTCTTGACATTTTGAAAGAGTGCCACTGAGTTGTTTTACACACTGCCCCTCAATTTGGATTTGACCGGTGTTTCTCTTGATTAGTTTGAGGTTACATGTTTTGGGCAAGAATCCCATGAAAGTGATGTGGCCTCTGTGTATCATATTAGGGGCTATGTGATGTTGTCTTATTACTGGTGATGTTAACTTTGATCACTTGGCTAAGGCAGTGTTTGCTAGGATTCTCCACTATAAAGTTACTATTTTCCTCTATGATGGAGGAGGTACTTTGAGACTTCACACATATCCTGGTTCTCCTCCAACTTTTGCCCGTTTATTTTTGCCGTATCAGTGGATCTTGTTTGCAACCGTTATTACAGTGGTATTTTCCCTCATCGTGATTTTCTTAATGTATGAAAAGCAAAGAAATCCATCTCTTTTCTTACTGTAGTTTCTATATACAAGCCTTTGGGAAATGAGTCATCAAAAGTATTTTAGACCAACTTGGCACCTTCTCGGTTGTTAGCATTAAATGATAATTTAAAGTTTGATCATTCTAAAGATTTTGATAACACTGGGTTACAACTGAGTACTTTTTCCTGGAAAAAAAAAATTTAAAACACTCTTAAACACAATCTAACCTTTTCTCTGTGGATGATGGAATGTTACATAGATTGGATCAGTCAGTGTGAAATTGTTGGGGAAAGTACATTCATCCTATCAGTTGTGATCTTTCACTAATTTGCTTTTTGTTAAGATTGCAGAGGGTTTTCATTCTTCATGACATAAAGAGAATAGGTGTTGAGGCTGCTGCCCAGGTACTTGCTTCCTCCTGTCCCATCAAGCTTGTTGTACCAGTCCTGGGGGGAGACTCTAGTTAGAATAGCACTGTAGGAGCCCACTCACTGTGGGAGTGACCTTCCACCGAGGACTCCATCAGTTCTGGGCTCCCACCGGAGGGCTGGGATGCAGGTCAGTCGACAGATGTCCGTTGGATCCCCACAGGGTCCATGGTACTGAGTCACCACATTGGGGGAACTTATCAAGACACATTTCCTGTTTCCCATGAGCCCAGATTTTGATATGGAAGTGTGATTAGAGTGAAGCCTAGTTGACGGGAATGCAGAGAGAAATAGCCGAGTGCATGAAGGAGGGGAAGTTAACTTGGAGTTGCGCCAGGTGGAGAATGTGCTGGGTTAGCTGAGAAGGGGATGGTGGGGGAGCTGTGCTTTAAAGGAAAAGAGGAGGCAGGTTTCAGGCTTGAGAAGCATGAATGTTGATGTGTTGCAGGGAAACCCCAAACAGGTCACTTTGCTTTATGCAGGAGGGCAGGTTCCATCTGATGTCCATTTCCTTCTCTGCTGGAGTTGCAGAGAGCAGGCTGGTAGCCAGTGATACGACAGGGCTTTGAGAGGAGTCAGTGAACTTGACCTCACGGGCAGGTGGGCCACCCTGTTCTGCTCTTTCAGTTCACAAAAGCCACAAAATCCTCCTGATCAAAGATGCGTTTAATTGAGAAAGAACTCTCAACACTTCTGCAGATCTCCAGGAGTCAAAAATCCCCAGAAAGTAGCCTTTTTTTTCCTTCAACAAGTGGAAAGATTTTAACCAAACCATATGTAATTATGTAGCTGTCTTTTTGAGCCCTTGCTAATTTTTTGAGCTAAGCCACATTTGATCCATATAAATAGATACATATAAATTGCATATATGTCTCTTCTTTGCTTTCATCTTAAGAGAAGAAATTTTTCTTTGTTTTTAGAAAACAAAAAAGGTTTGTTTTTATTTTTACATTGGACCCATTTTTATTTTTCCCCTTTTTTAAAATTGATGTATAGTTGATTTACAATGTTGTGTTATTTTCTGTTGTACAACAGTGATTCAATTATACATATATATACATATTCTTTTTCATTACAGGCTCCTACTAGCCATTGAATATTATTCCCTGTGCTGTACAGTAGGATCTATGTTGTTTTTATGTTTTATATATAGTAGTTTGTATCTGCTAATCCCAAACTCCTAATTTATCCTTTCCCATCTTCTTCCCCAACTGGTAACCATAAGTTTGTTTTCTATGTCTGAGTCTCTTTCTGTTTTATAAGTAAGTTCATTTGTTTTCATTTTTTTAGATTCCATATATAAGTAATATCATATGATATTTATCTTTCTCTGACCAACTTACTTCACTTAGTATGATAATCTCTAGGTCCATTCATGTTGTTGCAAATAAGATTATTTCATTTCTTTTTATGGCTGAATAGTATTCCATTGTATATATATACCACATCTTCTTAATCCAGTCATCTGTTGATGGACATTTAGGTTGCTTCCATGTCTTGGCTATTGTAAACAGTGCTGCTATGAACATTGGGGTGCATGTATCTTTTCAAATTAGAGTTTTCTCCATATATATGCCCAGGAGTGGGATTGCTGGATCATATGGTGATTCTATTTTTAGTTTTTTTAAGGAACCTCCATACTGTTATCCATAGTGACTGCTCCAGTTCGTGGACCCATTTTTAAAACTACAATGTACACACTCAGGGAGCAGAGTTCTATAATGCCTTAAGTATAATGTGGTTGCTTCAAGTTATACTTGAAATATAATATAAATTGGAGTTTTATCTTTATATTGGGAAACATATTAGTAGATTCTTGATCATTATTCTGATATTTTGTAAACCTTTAGAATTCTCTGGCTCCAGGGTTTCTTTTCCATAAAGAGAACCCATGTTCTTACTGGAGATTTAATAGCTGCTCTAAAGTAACGTCTCATATTTAATAAGATGTTCATTACATCTTATACTTTACAAACTATACTCCAGTAAGTTTGCTGATTGATACACAATGAAGTAGCTCAGATCAGACAGTTCTCAATAAATTAACAAGGGGGAACATAACATTCGGAGGGGGAATAATGAATCACAAAATGCCTTACTCATAAAATTAAGTAACCCTCAATAAATGTAAATGAACAGAATGATAATGGCTCAGCATTTTGTATCTTCCAAGTGCAGAGAGCAACCTTCTAAATAAGCAGGGGCCTTTTAAAAGGCTTAGAAGGGGAGAGAGACTACTAAGATGTGAATGACTAAATAGAGACGTTGATGGCAACTTTCATTTAGCCTGATGTAATGGGAAGAATTAATTAGTTTGTTCTCCAGGCCACAAGATGAAGAGGGTGCGACATTTTGCTCAGCTCCAGGAAAGGTCTAATACAGACATAAATTCAGTCCTGGTGTTTTTTTAGGCTGGCAAGTTTTAAGACCGTGTGTAAAAGTCTGGTGTTGATACTGAGCTTCTTTTGGTCTTTGTCTTAAGAGCTCACTAGCATCCTTTAAATAAGTGGTTGAAGGGTCTAGATCTGGATTTGCTCTGCTGCTTTCTGGCTAGGTGGGCTTCGGAAATTGCAAGCCCCTCTCAACCTCAAAATGTTAACTGATACACGGGAAACCTGATTAATAATGTATATGCGGGTGTTTAGCACAGGCCAAGCCAGAGGCTTCATTGCCACATGTTCAGTTTAAAAATATGTGCTGATGTGGAATCCTAAAAAAAAAAAAAAAAAAAAAAAGACACCAGTGAACTTTTCTATAAAACAGAAATAGACTCACAGACAACAAAACAAACAAACTTAGAAAACAAACTTACGGTTACCAGGGCCAGGAAGAGGGTGGGAAGGGATAAACTGGGAGTTCAAGATTTGCAGATACTAACTACTACATATAGAATAGATAAACAATAAGGTCCTACTGTATAGCGGAGGAAACTATATTCAATACCTTGTAATAGCCTATAATGAGAAAGCGTATGAAAAGGAATATATGTATGTACGTGTACGACTGAAACATTAGGCAGTACACCAGAAATTGACACAACATTGCAAACTGACTAAACTTAAGTTAAAAAAAAAGTAAAATATGTGCTGAGAAAACACAAAGCCTGTTCCCCCAGCTCTGTGAGCCTGCGGGCACTCAGAGGTTCTATCACTGACCATACAGCTGAGCAAAAGAAGAAGGTGCATGTCAGAAGGCTGGCGAGCCGAGCAGGCTAGCAGGGGGCGTGGCTCTGGCAAAGCCAAGGACACCCGCACCTCGGGATTGCATGATTCCTGCAAGTGGGTGCCAGCAAAGGCTCGGAGGGGAGGCCCAATAATTTATGTTCTGGGTTTCCCACCCTGAGTAGTGCACATACACCATTGGGGTGGTAGGATACAGAGATTGGTGGCCAAGGGCAGGATGGAGATGTGCCAGTTGAATCACCTGGTCCTCTGAGGTTAGTGGGGTCTGAAGAAAAACAGAGAGTCGGCCTCAGCCCCTCCAGACTCGTCACCTTCTTTTATTCTAAGTGTATCACAGCATTCGCTTCTCTCTCCTGAAGTGAAATTCTAAATACACCCTGCTAATATATGCAGTTTTTAAAAAAGAATGATTTGCTAACTCTTACATGAAAGAGAAATAAAAAGAAAATAACTTACAAGAAGGTTATATGTATTTGGTGTCTACATAGTTCAGGAGTGCTACTCCATACCTAAGACCCACACTAGAAGGCACTGGGATGCCTCATTCTGCCATACAATGAATAAGTTTGTATTTCAGAGGAATAAAGCATTGAGCTGAACCTGGTCAGCCCTTTTGGCTTATAACTGACATTAAGAAGAGAAGCTACAGGAAGCATTATGCTGTGCACCGGAAATTGACACATTGTAAACTGACTATACTTCAATAAAAAAAATATATATATATACACAAAATTTAAAAAAAAGAAGAGAAGCTTTAAAAAAAAAGATGCCTAGATGTATACACATGTATATATGCAATTGCCATTGACGTGACAGTTACACATGGGGACTAGTTTGGAGAGATTGTGCTGGAGGCCCAGATCATGTGTGACACTGACTTTGCTGCCGTGATTTTTCTGAAATGGTAATGGCGTGTTGGTGGAATTCCAAGTAAAATAGGCACAAACATCCCTTGATGTACATGGCAGTTATGTTCCTGAAAAATTCAGTGTGTATAGCACTGTGCCAAGGAGTTGGCAAAGATTCTCATGTGGCTTTCATGAACCCCGTGAGAGCTTGGCAGGCGTGTGAAGGCCTGCGGGAGCAGACAGCTCCCCCTGTGCGGGACCGTCCCACACGTCTCAAGGCTTCTGACAGCCCTGGTCCTCACCCCGAGGGTGGAGCACAGCACCCCGCATCTTTGTGAAAGCCGAAAATGTGTCCAGAATGCCCCCTTCATACCACAAGCATAAAGGGGTCCAGGAATAAAGGTGGAACTAAGTTGGGGAGTAAATGCAGCTGTCTTAAGGAAGGGACTCTTCAAGAACTGTGAATTACCAACATTCCACTGGGTTTCTCTGGCCACCCTTTGGTCTTAAAATAAAACCTCCTTTAGAACAAAAGCTGCCTTTCCTTGCTTTTCTGATAGCAGTTGTCTTTGTAACTGTTAAGGCTCCAGTGTTACAGTTATGATTATTCCCAAATTCTTTGTTTTTCTAGTAGCATTATTTCTCTTTCTGTCATCTCTTATATGTGCCATTATGTGTCATTCTCTGACTTTAAAGCCTGAAACACTTTATTGTAATTTTCATATGCTTACCTGTCTGTCCGAGCCAGTATTTTATGACAGATACTAGTTAGATATAGGTGATTTTCAGGGCTGGGGTATGACTGAGTGTAGGTGGTCATTGTTTCTTGGCGTGATTTTGGAGGTTGAAGCCACCGGTAACAGCCTCCATGTCACCTGACATGACATTCTCTTCTTTCCAAGTGGGAATCAAGATGTAGGGCCATCGCCAGACCTGCTCTGCAGATCTCACAACCTCAGGCAGGGTCATGGCCCTCATGCTGCCCTCCTGGGAGCCCTAGACTCCCATGAGCCCCCCCCCAAAGTGTCCAGGATCCCAGATCAGAGGATCTAGGAGAGCCTGGGCATCTGTCTTTTTTTTTTTTTTTTGATTGAAGTACAGTCAGTTACAATGTGTCAATTTCTGGTGTACAGCACAATGTCCCAGTCATGCATATATGTACATATATTTGTTTTCATTAAAGGTTATTACAAGATACTGAATATAGTTCCCTGTGCTCTACAGAAGAAATTCATTTTTTTAATCTGTTTTTATATATAGTGGCTAACATTTGCAAATCTCAAACTCCCAAATTTATCCCTTCCCACCCTCTTTCCCCAGTAAGATTGTTTACCATGTCTGCAAAGTCTGTTTCTGTTTTGTAGATGAGTTCATAGTGGCTTTTTTTTTTAAGATTCCACATATGAGTGATATCATACGGTATTTTTCTTTCTCTTTTTGGCTTACTTCATTAGAATGATGATCTCCAGATCCATCATGTTGCTGCAAATGGCATTATTTTGTTGTTTTTTATGGCTGAGTAGTATTCCATTGTATAAACGTACCCCAACTTCTTTATCCAGTCTGATGGGCATTTAGGTTGCTTCCATGTCTTGGCTATTGTATACAGTGCTACTGTGAACACTGGGGTGCATGTGTCTTTGAATCTGGGCATCTGTCTTTTAAAACATCCCACATGGACCTGTTGGGCACCCACAGGCACTGCCCGTGACACCAACCGGGTGCGCCTACAGCCTGGGTTTCCTTAACTGTACCCATCGGTGCTGTGCCTGCACATCCAGCGGATCCTGACTTAGGAGGGCACAGTCAGTGTCCTGCTGGGTCAAAAGAAAGGAAAGCTGTGGGGCCCTCTTGCTTTTATTGTTGTCTGCTTATGGGGTACTTGAGAGGTTTCAGTCGTCCAGAGGAAGGACAAAAATGACTTACTACTTTTTCCTGTGTAACTCAGAACCATGAAGAGCATTACACTTCATCTAAGACTGAAGGCTGTAAAAAATCACTGTTGGTGATACTGAGATGTTCTCTTTTGCTTCCTTCCAGCTGACCTCCCAGCATCCTTATGCTGAAGTCTTCATTGGCCGGCCCCATGTTTGGACTGTTGACCTCGGCAATCAGGAGGAAGTAGAGGACGCAGTGAAAGCCATTTTAAGTCAGAAGGTTATTTCTTTTATTCATTTTTCCCCATTTGGAATGTGAACTGGAGGGTGTGGAACACATCACAGGCCCTTTGTGCGAGTAATGAGAACGTTTCCATGTCCGCTCAACTCTGGAATTAGAAAGGAGCCCAGCTGGAGGGCTGGCTGGCCTGGGGACTGTGTGGATGTCCTCTGAGGTGGAAACAGAGCTGGTGTCCAGATGTGTGCGTGGATTCTACAAACCCTTTTGATATGACTCCTGGGTCCCAGCAGAGTTGTAGGAGCTTGAGATATACTTGCGTCTGTGACATGATTATGTAGCTCTCTCAAAGATCAAAAAAGATGTACCTGCTCCCTGCAAGGAAAAAAAGAAAAGAAAAAAATAAATAAGTGATAAGGATAAGGAATAATTAAGGAATACTGAGAAATGTTCTTTATAGCATCTAGTTATTCCGTTTTCTACCATTTAACATCTTGTAAAATTTTGTGTAAGTAATGAGCATATCTGGACTCTGTTCATCAATTCAGCAGACATTTATTAAGCACCTGCTGTATGCAGGGCACCCTCTGAACCACTGTAGGGTATGTTCATTTCCACAAACATAAACGAGGCTGGGTCCCCACCTGTAAGAAGCGTAGCACCCTGGAGGGATGGTCAGGTTATCCTCTCTCCCAACCCTGGGGACTCCATCCCTCTGCACCCTGCCCTCTGTACTCCTCCTGTCAGAGCAGTTGTCACTGTGTTACATTTTGTTAAGAGGCAGGACAGGCGTGGTTGTGAGGGCAGGCTTGAGTCAGACAGCTCGGGTGGGTTTCAGCTCTGCCCCGTACTTGGAGCGCCCCCTCAGGCAGCCCTGAACATGGGCCAGCTGACTATTCCTCCTGGCAGACTAGCCTTTCCAGCCCCTTCCCCTTGACGCTCACTGTTCCTCAGACCCATGTCTTTCCAGGCCTTCACCTCTGAGCCTCAGTTTCCTCATCCCTAACGTAGGCTAATTCCACCTACTTTGCAGGGACTTGTGAGGATGCAGTCAGGCGGTGAATATGAAGCATTGAGGTACATTGTCGACCTCAGAGCAAGTGTTTAGTCAATAGCACTAAGTCAGTATTGGCATCGCCTATGTAATAGTATAACAGTCTTATGATTGTTAGTGCCAGTCTAGATTTCCACTAGACTATAAGCAGCGTGGGCAGGATATATATCTGTCTCACTGCTGTATTCTTGGGACCCAGTGTAGTGATTTACCTAACGGATGGATGGGTGTCGTGGAGGGGATGACGACTAGGTATTTACCGACAAGCACACTATCAGGCAGAACACGTTTGGTGCCAAGACCAACATGCCGGAGATGGAGGAGTGCCTGTCTTTTCTGCGTCCTATAAGGACGTCTGGAGTATGCAGCAGTAAGTCTCATAGGATGAGTAGGAATTTGCAAAGCTAAGCTGAGAAGTGGGCCTGGAAAGACATGGTTTGAGGAACAGTGAGCATCAAGGGGAAGGAGCTAGAAAGGCTTGTATCCTGGGAGGAATAGCCAGGTGGCCCGTGTAAAGGGCTGTCTTCCATCTCCGGGAAGTAAAATGTGGCGCACCAAACTGCCAGCTTCAACCTACTGAGGACACCTCCCAGAGAATGAGAGGGCTCCAGTGTGTTATCCGGGTCCCTTTGGAGAGGGTCTAGTTATTGAGCTTTGGGCTAGCTGCTCAGAGCTTCCCATGGGTGATGCGTACATTGTCACTCCTTGTCTCAACAGTTTGGGGCAGAAGTTCCCCAGACCTCTGGTGGCCAAGCCAAGAGATGAGTACTGAGTGAGCATGGTACCACTGTCCGCCTCAAAGCATCTTTCACATGTCAAAGGCTTCCACGCCAGGGGGTCCCTCTTGTAGAGACCAAAGGTTCTTCTTTCTTCAGTCTCAGAGTCCTTTAGGGTATGAGCGTCTATGGTTGCCATAACAAAGAAACACAACTTGGTGGTTTAAACAAGAGAAATAGATTTTCTCACCATTCAGGAGGCTACAAGTCTGAATTTAAGATGTCTGCAGGGCCACACTCCCTCTGAAACCTCTCGTGGAGGATTTGTCCTTGCCTCTTCCACCTTCTGGTGGCCCCAGGTGCTCCTTGGCTTACAGCTGCCACATGGCGTTATCCCTCCGTGTGTGTGTGTGTGTGTGTGTGTGTGTGTGTGTGTGTGGTCTTCTCCACTTCTTAGAAGACATCAGTCATACTGGATTAGGATTCACCCTGAATCAGTATGATCTCATCTTAACGTGATTACATCTGTGAAGACCTTATTTCCAAGTGAGGTCACATTCACAGATACGGGGAGTTAGGACTCCGGCATGTCTTTCAGAGGGAGGGAGTTCAACCCACAACACCTAAGTGTGCGTGCCCTTAAAGAGGAGTAATTTAAAAGCTAAGGTAGAGGCAGAAAATCATGGGTCACAGAGTCCAAAACTTTTTAGGTAACAGACAAAAATCTCATGGGAAGGCCGGCTACAGAAAACACTGAGAGCAGGGCACTGAGTTTGTCTGCTCCCTCACACGTGAAGCTGGCTCTGTTCACGCCATGAAACCTCCAGTGCTCCACGTTTTAAAACCCTGGTCAGGCTTTTCCCAAAAATGGTTTAAGGCCACTTAAAAGGAAAAAAATAAATAATTATAATAGTAGGTGATATGTAGGAAGAACCTCTTTCTACATGTCTAGAATCTCTCCGTACATCTTATTTAATCTAATCTCATTTAATCCTTCTGCAAATAAGAAAGATGGCACAGCTAGTAAGTTGTAGAACCTGGGTTGAAACTAGTATTTTTGACTAGTTTGTTAAGATAATATAAGATTTAAAAAGAAAAACAACATGACATGAAGTAAAGGGAAAGCTAAGAGTGGATAAAGTAAGGAATGAGATTAATACAAAAGCTATTGTCATTATAATCCTTATACTTGTTATAAATGGGTCAGAAATCTGCTGCCAAGCTTTCTCATATTGAATTACAAATTTTTAAGTTACCTGACATTCAAAAATGCAAGAAATCATGATCCATCATTAAAAGAGGACACTATCAATAAAACCAGACTCAGAGATTGCCCAGGTATTGGAATTATCAGACAGTGACTTTAAAATGCTACGATTAATATATTAAAAGACTTGATAATAAAGGTGGACACTATATGTGAACAGATGGGGAGTTTCAGCAAAGAGATGGGAACTTAAGCCAAATGAAAAAATGGTAGAACTGAAAAGCATAGTATCAGAAATGAACTCTTTCAGGGGGCTTATCAGCAGACTGTAGACAGCAGAGGAAAATAATCAGTGAACTTAAAGACTTGTCAATAGAAATTATTTAAATTAGCCCAAAAAATGATATGAAAAGGAACATATGAAATATGTAGGAATATCAAAATGCATAACTTACGTGTAATTGGCATCTCAAGGGAAGAGAGAATGGCTGGAAGAAATATTTGTGAAAAGGTAATGGCTAAGTATTTTCTAAAATTAATGAATGACATCAACCTACAGATTCTGGGAGCTCAGTGAAGCCCAAACAGGGTAAATATAGAGAAAAACACACTTAGGTACATCATATCAAACTGCCAGAAACAAAAGATAAGGAAAATAATCTTGAAAGCAGCCAGAGAAAAATGTATTACATTCAGAGGAATGGAAGACCCCCAACTTCCCATCAGAAATAATGGAGGCCACAACAGAGGCCCCAGGAGCCAGAATGGCTTTAAGTTGGCCACAATAGAGAGTCTGAAGTTTATTCTAAGTATGATGGGTAGTTTTGAGCAGGGGGATGACATGACCTATTTTAGATTTGAAATCAAGAGAAATTACATGAAATGTTTGGCTTAAAATTCCCTACTTAGCATATAGAGGAGACGGGACTCAGCCCCTGATCTTCCGGTACTTTCTAAGACCATCTCTCATTGAAGGATGCCACGCCACCTGTCAGGTGGGGCCATGGAGGGGTTAACAGAGCAGTTCCCTGGAGAAACTATACCCTAACTTTGAATGCTGAGTGGCAGAAAAGAAGACAGGAATGGGGGTTGAAGAGGAGAAAATGGAGAAAAAGATGGGGAAGTAAGGGAAATTTTCCAAGGCCAGCAGGACCGCACGGTGCAGCCTACAGGCATCCTTCCTGTGGCCCTGAGAGTCACAGTCCTTTTTCCATGAAGCACAATGACCAAGAACACTCCTCTTGGTTCTCCACAGCTGGTCCTACTTGGGGACATCAGTGACTGGTGTGGTTTCAACATGCCCTTTCACCCCATCCCCTAAAGAGTCCTTGACTTGTTCCTGAAGGGCTGTTATGCAGAAAACCGGCACACACAGAGGCCCGGATCTTGGCATCAGCCCCTCCATCAGAAGCTCGCTAGCCCTTGTTATTCCTGAAGCCAGGGGTCTGGAGAGCTTTCCCACATGGACAGCCCTGCTCCCGCCCACAGCAGGATGGGTAGTGACTCACTGACAGGTGGCTTAGGAGTACTTTTTGTTGTTGTTGCTTTTCCTTTGTAGGAAAATTGGCTATCTTTTAAAACAGTCAACTGTCTACAAAGCAATTAATGAGTCAACATCCCTTTGATTAAAATGGGTTAGGTTGGTAGGAGGACACAGGAAGAGCCATTCTTCTGTACTTATTGCATGAACCCCTTCAAGGTAATCCACGTCCATTCCTAATGGCTGTTCTCTGGGATACGTGGTAGGAACAGTCCTTGAGTATTCAGCCTGCTTCCCACCACGTGCCCGGATCTGTTGGTCCCATGGCAGATGGCCACTGATGTTTGCTTCTCTCACTCTAGAAACTCTACGTATCCCCTTTTGAATGAGCCCGGGATGCCAGCCTCAATTGTAGTTTTGTTGTTGTTCTGATTCCTTCACATCTTTTCCTGCAGACAGGGGAAGGGACGTATCTCAAGCCAGTTAGAGAAAGCGTTTGGAATCACCCACAGGCTGAATAAATATTCTTTAAAAGAAAAGAAGAATTCTACATTTGGTGTGAAGGACTGTGTTTGGGTTAGAGAGGGCACAGCAAGTGCAAAACCTTGAGATGAGAAGGCGTAAACTTGGCACATATCAGTTAAAGTATTTTGAGCTCTTCTGAGATGAACTATCAAGGAGCAAAAGGACCTCGGTTCTTTCAGGGTAGTCCTGCCCTGATGTTACAGGGCTTATGGCTCAGCCTCTTTTGGCTCTGTCTGGATGGATGTGGGCAAGGATGGCTGACTTACAACCTGTGTGAGTTGTCCTCTAATTATGCACTCAAAGATATGTTATAAAATGAACAATCGTGGTTGAAGATTTCAGGTGTAATGTGTGAATCAACACACACAAAAGCAGAAGATGTCTTGAGGCCAGCTACTTGGCTGCCCACAGAAGGGTATCTTCACTGCCAGCTGACCCATTTTCAGCAGATCTCAACACACAGATGTTTTGTCCAGCTCTTCACCCTATAGATTAGAGCTAGGTCAGTGTAGAGCAAGATGGTGGATGTGCTCCTCTGTCCTGCTGACACGTGCTGCTGGACTCTCTGAAGCTATAGCAAACTGGATAGCCGGTGGTTTCCTCCCAAGAGAAATTTCCATTTCAGGTTAATAAAGCCAGCTAGCTGCCCCTAAAAACGCAGACCTCGTAGCCTTGGTATGAGCATTCCAGAGTTCAAATCCACATTTCTTCCCCTCCCCTTAGGTGTCACAGTGTTGCTCAGGTTGTCTCCTCCACGTCAGGGAAGCACTTTCTACATTGCTTGCTACCCTCAAATAAAGCCTAGGCTCCTTAGAGTAGAAATCTCAAGTCTTTCGTGGAAATCCAGTGACCCTCTTCCTAGCCTGTCTCCCCAGAATCCATGATCCTAGTTCTGTCCTCCTGCTCTTTTTTCAGGTCTTGTCTCCCACTACTTGCTGTACCTGGGACGTCTTCCGCATCTTGGCCCTCCTCAGTCCTGTCTTGCTAGAATTGTAGCTGGCCTTAAGAGCCCAGCATGAGCAGGCATTGGCTTTGACCTTCTAGCCTCCTAGGACCCTCTGGCTGAACTCTCTGTAATGCACCATGAGTTCTTTGGGTACATACTTACCTACTAATGCAAAACAAACATTTTGTCACTGTCATGAGTCCTTAAACCACTCATAAGGTGCCTTTCTCAGGGCAGGGAGTGTGCATTCATTCACCAGATGTTTGGTGCTCAGCAGTGGGATACAGATGACCCAGCAGCCATGGACCCTGCCCCCTGGAGCTTGCCTTCTAACAAGTGACACTCCCCACCTTTGGCTAAATGCCTACCATGTGCTAGACACTGAACTTAGCACTTTCCTTTTTCTCTCCTGTAATCTTCACCACAGCTTCCAGGAGGTGGGTTTTTCTTATCACCATCTTACACATGAAGAATCTGAGGCTCAGAAATGGTAGGTAATTTGCTCAGGGCCCCACAACTGATAAGGAGCAGAGTGAAATTGTGAAGCCAGCTCTGCTGACTTCCAAGTTCATAGTCTTAGCCTTGCAAGGCTGCCTGCAGGTGTTTGGGGCCTGAGTGCATGTGCATCAGTGGAGGACGGGGTAAGAGTCACCTGTCCCGAGTCCTCCTCTCTCACGATACCATGTTCTATTTCTGCAGATTGAGCCATACATGCCCTACGAATTCACATGTGAGGGGATGCTACAGAGAATCAACGCTTTCATTGAAAAGCAGGTAAGGCTGTCCGGAAGTCTGTCTGTCTTTGTGGAGTCCTGCTTCCTGTTACCCCAGAGGGCTCTCATGAACAGTGACGAGCTCACCGTATTTCTATGGTTATTTCCTTGATTTGGAGGACTCCACAGGCTGGATAATGGCTTGCTAAACTGCTAAAGTAGGCATTGTCGTGGTCACCCAAAGGAGTCAGCCTGTCCTTGGCGTAAGAATGTTCTTTATGATGGTGGAAGGTCAAATGGAAACTTAAGGAACTGGATGACCAAGATGGAAATGTCCTCCGCCGTCAGACCTGCTCCCTGAATGTAAGACCTAGTGGGGAGGGGGACAGAGAGACAGCCAAGTATGTTAGCACTCTGTAGGGCTGTTCAAACAGTTTTAAAAATAGGACCCCTATTCAAATGAAACTTTACATGAAACCCAAGGATATGAAACAGATAAAAGCAGAACTTCACTTCCAAAGCAGGGGAGGGTTCCCAGGGTCCCACCACCCCCAACAGAGCTGGGAAACTGTGTCTCATGCTTACAGAAGTGAGGCCAAAAGTGTCATTGCCATCTTTATAACACTTTAATCCCTTAGGCTTCAAAAGCAACACAGAGCTAGAAATAGGCAGACAGAGAACCCCCGGGGGTAGGGGGACTTAGACACCTTGACCAGATTCCAGAAATAAGGGGCTGCTCTTCAAGGGCAAAGCGGAGCCTCGTGGGGCGATGGAGAGATCTTGACACCATAGGGGAGCAGGACTCTGAAGGCCGAGAGGAGAAATGCTGTGTTGAAATGTGAGTAGGTGCAGATTGTAGGCCAAGGCAGGTTTCAGAGGAAAGATCTGAGGCAAGACTGGTGAGCAGCGGACAAGCCCGCGTGCAGCTGCTGGATGGGCAAAGCGGGGCAGACACTTCAGGGTGCTGTGTCTGATGCTCTGAATTTTTGCTGGTGGCAAGAGGGTGCATTCTGCAGCCATCCGCCTGGGGTCCAGCCCCACCGCTGAGACTTTCTGGTTGTGTGACTGGGGACGTGTTACCGAGCCTCTCTTTGCCTTAGTTTCCTCTCCTGTAAAATGAGGATAATGACAGAACCTCGCGGGGCTGCTGTGAGCGTTAATGAGCTGATAACAGGCGACGTGCTTAGAACAGGGCTGCCACACACTGCTCAAGAAAGACAGACTAGCCCTGGTGATTCTCTAGTATGTTCTACTTTATTATATAATTGTCTTATAGTCTTTTTTTTTTTTTACTGAACTGTAGTTGATTTACAATGTTGTATTAGTTTCAAGGGTACAGCATAGTGATTCAGTTATATGTACATATATATTCTTTTTCAGGTTCTTTTCCATTGTAAATTATTACAAGATACTGAATATAGTTCCCTGGGCTATACAGTAGGACCTTTTTCTATCTATTTTATATATAATAGTGTATATATGTTCATCTAAACTCCTAATTTATCCCTTCCCCCCACCTCTTTCCCCTTTGATAACCATAGTTTGTTTTCTGTCTATGAGTCTATTTCTGGCTTATAAATAAGTTCATTAGTGTCTTTTTTTAGATTCCACATATAAGTGATATCATATTATGTTTGTCTTTCTCTGTCAGACTTACTTCACTTAATATGATCATCTCTAGGTCCATCCATGTGGCTGCAAGTGGCATTATTTCATTCTTTTTTATGGCTGAGTAGTAGTCCACTGTGTGTATATATGTGTGTGTGTGTGTACACACACACCACATCTTCTTTATCCATTTATCTGTCAATGGGCACTGAGGTTGCTTCCATGTCTTGGCTTTTGTAAATAGTGCTGCTGTGTATTGTATTCTTATATATTATTAAATAACATAATATATTCCACAGTATTACTCATCAGACTTTACCACAAGAGCTGAGCATCTGAATTACTGTCTCATTTGGTCTTTATATGACACCCAACTTAAGAATTGACAGTATCATCATCCTAACTCTAACAGCCCTTTATGCACAGACTTTATGCCAACATGTCAGGGGCACATCCCAGTGCATCATTCATTTATCCCCACAGTGATCCCAGGAGGCAGCAGTCAGAGCCCCATTCTCTGGACGGTGGGCGCCGGAAGTCTCGGTAGCAGGGCTAAATCCTGGAATCAGGGTTTGAGTCTGGTTTGGTCTGGGTCCAGACCTGCGCCAGCGGTGTTGCCAGGACCTCAGGTGACAGCAGTGGCCCCTGCCACTGCTTCCCATCTTCTTTGAGCTCCAGGCGCTGCGGGCCCTCCTGAAGGTGCAGGCGGGCACAGCTGTGGCTCCCCAGGCAGTGAGCTCTAGTGCATCCCGCTCTCACGGCCCTCCCCGGAGCTGGCTCTTACCAGCAGCCCTGCAGCTGCTTCCGGAACGCCCTGCCTTCTCTCCTGTCTCCACTTCCTCTCAGGGAAAATGGTTACTCACCACCATGTGTAAAAAGACTCTATCACATTTATATGAAGGCTTTATTTCTTTCCTCCCTAAGGAAATCTTGAATCCCAGCCAGTCCTTAGAAGTTCTCTTTTGGCCCGTCTGTTGTGAATCTATTGGTTTCCCTTCAGACAGGAAGGTCTCGTTCCCCAAACAGACCTTGCTAAATGCTCGTGTGCAGGGTCACACCCAGCTCGCTCCCCTTTGTGTGGCAAGTGCCTAGCCCCTGCCTGGCACATAGTAGGTCCACAAAAGCTGAAGAAATGAGTAAATAAATAAGGGGGTGAGTGAGTGCGTGTGCTTTTTATTCACATGGGCCAGGAACTAGGAGGCTCAGGTTGGCCCTTATGATTATTTGGAAAACATGCCACTAAAATCATCTTCCAGAAAACATGTCAATAAAGCTGCCCTTTTGCACTAGCTCCTGGGCATAGAATTTTTTTTCTGCAGAGCTCTGCGGTTCACAGGAATCCACAGATTTCTATTTTGCCTGCTGTCATTTATCCGTTCATCCACTCTGTAAATATTTGCCAGGTTGGGTAGGCTGCAGACTGTGCTGGGAGGTGGGAAAGAAGAGATGTCAAAGGATGAGTCCCTGACCTCAAGTAGCTCCAGGGTTCGCAGAGAAGCAGGTCAGGTCCTCGGTGGTGCTGCTGCCCTGGTTCCACCTGTAATAGCGACGACCTGGGGTGCTTGGGACCGCATAACTCAAGCTGCAGGGAGGGGAGGGAGATTCTGTCTGGAAGCATTTTGCAGGAGATGAGTCCAAAAAACAAAGATGTCAAGCTGCAAAGGCTTAGGGGCAAAAAGAGAAACCGTGGTAAAATTATTGGAAGTTTAGATGTGACTGAAAAGAGGGATGAGGTGAGGGACAAGGTTGGAGGTGGAGACACATCATGAAAAGATGCTAAGGCTCAGCTGAAGAATTCAGATTTGATTCTGGGACAAGAGGAGGCTGACGAAAGGCTTTAACCCGGGAGCAGGGCAGTGATGATACTGCATGGGTGTTTTAGAAAAGTGACCCCAGGAATCTTGTGTTTGGGGCATTTCTTATTCCACATGCTCTCGGTGCTGCTAAGGAGCCCGTGTTGAGTTATCCCAGGCTTTTATGGAGGGTTGTGTTGAAGCCGTAATGTTCCCCCAACTCCAGAGGGAAATTAGGAAACCGAGACCCCACTGGCTCGCAGATTGGGTCTTCTACCTCTGACGATCAGCTTCAGGCTCTCGTGTTCTAGAGCTTGGGGTGTTCGTTATTTTTGCAGCCAAAAGGTTATCTTCAAAGAGCAGTGAGAGGCGAGAGGGGTGTTACCGGTGGGAACAGGAAAGCCTCAAGCTCCGAAGGGTGGTGGTAGCACACGCTTCCCGTCCCTTCAACTGGAGGAGCCCCGCGGCCCTCATTAGGCTGGTCTCTGCCTTCATCAGAGTCCTCCGTGTGGTCCACGGGGGTGGGGGGTGGGGCTTTTATCCCACAACCCTTTCAAGATTGTCCCTCACACTCACCCCGGGCAGCAGGAGCCAGAGGAAGCCAATTGACAGCAATTGAGAGAGCCCCGGGCCGTGGCGTGTGCTCAGAGCACAGGAGAGCCGCGCTGATAGCACGAACCTACCCTGCCAACCTGGGCAGTTCCCGATGGGGATGGATCCTGGCTTTAGGAAAACAGTTGCTTTTCCCTTAATGCCCCCTCTCCCTCACTGTACTGAAAAGGCTGATTTGGCCTGCCCACTCTTTTATATCAGCTCCCCCCAAAAAGGCGCTCTCTCTAGCAGCAGGAGTTGGTACCAAGGAGAAGACCCCTTGTGTAACTGAAGATCATGAGCCCCCCTCGTCCCTAACCCGAGTGTGTCCTGGCCTGTGAAGGTTCTCACTGTGCGTTTCTTGGGAAAGGCGTAGGTGGCCTCAGGCCAGAGGGTAGAGCAGGTTTTTTGAAGGAACGGCCCGTGTTCAGATTGATTTCTGAAAACCATACGTAGGCTCTTTAACTCTATTTTCTGCTTCGTGTAAAGACCCTATAAAATACCCTACAGTGTGATTGTGCTCATATTATTTTGCAAGGAGCTGTGTAGTTTATGTGAAAAGCATTCTGGAGACTTGTAGGGAAAAAAGGAGTTAACTCCAAGAGCCGCAGGGAAGTGAGCTTCAGCTGCTGGGGAGTCTCGCTCCCTGGGGCCCGTTCTAGATGCAAGGCCAAGCCTGCACGGCAGTGGGTCTGGGGAGGCCAGGGGAGGGGGCAGTGGTGGAGGCGCCAGGTTACAGGGGAAGAGGGAGAGGAATTGAACAAGGGAGAAGGTTGGCAGTAGCGTAAGGAATGTTTGCTGTTTTGAGAAACCAGTGGTTGCTGTTTGCCCAGCCTTTCCTGAACCGAGAGGGACTGGGGTGGGTAATGATTAAGCGTTGGAACCTGGGAGTCTGACAGCCAGGTTCACATCCTGGCTCTGCCATCACTCTCTTAGTGACCTTGGGCAAGTTTCCTAACCTCTCTGTGCTGTTTCCTCTTCTGTGCAGTGGGGACAATGCTACCTACCCCATAGGGCTGGTGGAGGAATCAACAGATGAATACATGTTTAAGTACATGGTCCAGAATAG